AGATTTATCGTCCTCTTTTTTTTTTTTTTGGGGGGGAAAAAAAAAAAAAAAAAAAAAAAAAAAAAAAAATTATCTCAAACACCAGGATTACCAAATTCACTCACTAATTTCACCTACAGATAGCACAAGAAAAATAGCCACAGGGCTTCACAATGAGGGAATCCTAGAAGCAGCTTGATTCCACAGAGTTATCCAAAAGACTGCAGCTGTCTCCACTGTCTCCAGAGACATTCAGGGAACAGCAAGTGTGAAGGGTTGTGATGGGGTTTAGTCTGAGGATTTACACCGCTGAGGTCATGAGCAGGTTGTGACAGAGTCTGGAGCAGCTTAGAGCAGGGGAATACAGACACACTTCTGAGCCAAGGGTAGGATTCTGCCCCAGTCCTGAGCAAGAGGTCAAAAACAAACCATCAGCTAGTCTTAAACTGATGCATCTTTCAATTCTCTAAACAAAGACGCTCAATGCAGTCCTTTCCTTAATCCTCTGATTTGTGAGCACCCCAGTCAGAGTGCCCTCCACAAAACCAAGAACTCAGTCAGTGGCAAAAAGCACCAGCAACGGTGGAAAAAGTTCTGTAAAGTTAGAAGAGAAGCGAGAAACAGGAGGCACTGCTAGTGAGCGAAAGTGAACCTGAGTACTGATATGTGCATGAGATTCTTACACTGATACTTCAAAACCGAGAGGAACGCACATGAGAACAGAGACACGAGCAAACACACAATTCAGTGTAATACATAATTATATGCAAAGCAAATTGGACAAAGAATTATGTTGGTCAGTAACAAGGGTAGATAGATGTTTACCTCCAATAGACCATAGTCAAAAGAGGAAAAGAGGTCTGGAAAGTTCCCTTCTGGGTTACCTCAGTTACTGGACTCTCAAAAGCCTGTTGGAGCTGGCTGAACTTAGCTATGAACTTCTGCTTTTTAATGAAGCCAATTTTTAATGATGTCATGCATTATCTGCTATGGAAATGTAAAATTGGGGGGAGGAAGGGGAGGGACAATAACATTCCTATGCATTTGAATAATATATAAAAGCCTCTAAAAGTCCAGAATGTTGAAAATGGAAATATTGCAGTTTTTTAAAAAGCCGGCTTAAATTTAACAGAGTGTTTAAATTCCTAGTTGATGGTAATTAGAGAGCAAGCAGTATTTCTTTAAACACTGCTAGACAGAGCTTAATCCAATTTAAGTAATCACTAACCTCTGCTTCCCTGCCTCTCCCCTTAACCGAAACCCTAGGACTGCTCTACAAAGACTATAAACTAGCAAAGCATAACAAAAGAATATTTAAAGAGAGATTGAGTGACTATACCTCAAAGGGCCAAGTCCAATTAAAATGGAAACAGGTCTCACAGGCTCCCTAATTTCTACAGCCTATAAACTGGCACAGAATAGCAGAAGGCGGTCTCTGGGAGGTGGGGGACTTACTCCCCACAGCTCCCCTTTGGGAACTGCATCCGGCATGTCACTCACCAAGTCTTGTTAGGCAGTGTGACAGCCCCTGCTTCCCAGACTAATACACAGTTCTCTATATTCACAAGATATGCAGGCGTTGACTTTTCCTCCATGGAACTGTCCCTTCAGGCCTTTGAGTCCCATCACCTCAGATTCCCTCCTTTTAGATTTCTCATGCTGCTTGGGTATTGACGTCTGATCCTGAAATGTTCATGTAAGCAACTAGAAACTTCTTGAGAACTTGGCACTCTGTCAAACATGAGTTGATCTCTGATGACTTGTCAAAGATTGTATCATCTCTGTCTCCTGCCCCCTTCTGAGCTCCAGTGTGGAATCTTCCTTTACAAAAACAATGCCTTCTGCTTATCAGGACACTACTGTTTGCACAGTCCAAACCCTATATCCTCAACAAAACATATAAGATATTTTACCTCCTACTTTCCAAAAAAGATATTAATTCACACTGACATGTTAGCAAATTAACAGTTTCTATAGGCATGGCCTTTAATTCATATTTAGCATTTGCATTGAGTTGGGCATTGTAGAGCTCCACACAGACTCACATGCTATTTCTCAAATCTATTCTATGACAGTCTATTTTGGCAAAAAGAATTAAAAAGGAAAAGTCTGTAACTCAGGAAAGAGTTCTGTATATTTTACCTGGTACAAGGGTGGTACCAAAGCAATGGTCACAGGAGCATGCATTCCCATCATCAGAATGGAAACGAATGAAAAGAGCAAGTACTGTCATACTGTCATAAAGTCTGTATTGAGTTGCATCTTTTACAGACAAATGGTTTAAACGTTCCACAGACACCAAATCAGTGAGCAAACTAACAAGAGATGACATTTAGGCCAGGCCTCTCAGCACGAGGTTTTCCAGACAGTCAATGTAATAGTATTCTAAAGACAAAGTAAGGAGCTTTTTCAATACCTGTGCCACTCTGTGACATTAAAAAAATAATAATGTGGACTGGAGAGAGGGCTTAGTAAGTAAAGTGCTTGCTACATAAGCATGAGGACCTGAGTTCAGATCCCAGCACCCATATGAAAAGTGGGATGTGACGCTTATGCCTGTAAAGCTCAGCACTGGGGTAGGTAAAAGGGGTTTGTTGGCCAGCCAAATCAATGAGATGGAATCAATGAGCTCCAGGTTCAATGAGAAACCCTGATTCAAAAAATAAACTGGAGAGTGACTGAAGAAGACACATACACACACCACATTCAATGCACTGGAATACACGTGTGCATTGCATACACATGAACATACACAGCACCCACACAAATATAACCAAATATATGATGATCTAGGGAACAACTGTGGAATCTAATGGAAGGGAAAAATCTTCTCCTGCCTCCAAGCCTAGAGCAGCAATCTGTAATCTTTTCTGAACTCCATCCCCTGTGTGCACAGTTTAAGATTATTTGCATTCTCTGAGCCTCGGTATGCTTAGATACACAGTCTCTTAGTGCAAAGTTTGACATTATAAGATGTGAAGAGATGTTCTCACTTTCCTCTTTATTTCCTCTTTCTTTCTGTTTTGATTTGGGAGGCTGGTAGTTTTTGGTTTTGTTTATGTTTTTGTTATTTTGACAGGGGTCTCCTTGTAGCCAGAGTAGGCTTGGAACTTGCTATGTTGACCAGGTTGGCCTCCATCTCACAGAAATCTGCCTGCCTCTGCCTCCTGAGTGCTGAGATTAAAGGCCTGCTCCACTATGCTGGGCACTTTCCTCCTTTTTCATATAAGGGGAAGGATTTTTCTTAAATGTTCCAACACTAAAAAGATTACTGAAATCACACCCATTGAAATACATACCGGTGGCCCTCTGGACCTGAAGAAAATGAGATCACACCCTTGAGAAACAGGCTGGACTAATGTCAGAAGTAGTCTAAGTAGCGTATTTCTTCTGCTAACCTTCCTCTGTGCGTTACTGGGTTCAACTGCTAGAAGTACCAATAAAACAATAAACAACAAGGGCTGGGGGTGGGGAAGAAACGCTTCCCTTCTCTGGAAGGCTACATTCTACAGAAACCACTCTTCCATTTGGAAGAGTCCCGTACTTTCCTCAGGTGTATCAGAAACCTCATTGGGTGCTGATTTTAAAATGTGCTAAATTCGCTTTTGTAGGCTCCATTTCCCTTTTGACCCACTTGCTGTTTCACGTTACCCGTAACAGAGCTTTCAAATTCTGCAGTAGTTTAGTACATCTTGGCAGTGAGTTTTGGCCATACAGGACAAAGAAATACCATGACTTCAAACCTTCAGTGGTCAAGAGCACAAACAAGTGCGGCTTCTGTGCTGTGGTGGGGGCTGGCAGGGGGAGGGGGGAAGAGGCAGTCGTAACCTTAACAACCTGCTTTGGTCCTTATCATGGGTCATCTGAATCTGCATGGGCAACAATTCCAGAACTCCAGCCAGGCTGGGATGCCTGGAGACTCCAGCCCAGAGCTTTTTCCATGCGGGTCTCCACAACACACATGTAGCTGAGCCGCCTCGAATAAGCATCTCGTCTTGTGGGGCGCGAGACAGAGCAGTAATTGAAACCTTGCACACCGCAGGATTGCTGTGGCGTCTATAAATACTCTACTATTTTACTGCTGACAAACAAAACGCAGGCTCCGGGCACCGCGAGGAAAGAGGTGGTGGCTCATGTGATCTCCGTCAGAGCACGGGTAGGATTCGGGGAAACCCCACTGCCAATTAAGCAGAACCCCAGAATCTATTCCTGAAGGGTAATTCGCAATCTGGTTTGTGTCCTAGTTCAGAGGAGACTGCAGGAGCACTGGGAACCAGAGTCCCACATAGGCGCGGACTCCAGAGCGCCCCCTGCGCGCAAACACGCGCGATGCGCACAGTAGGTGTGCAGAGGAAATCCTGGCCCAACGCGGCACCGGCGCGAAAAACAAGCAGAAATGAGACACCGTGGGCACCCAGAGCGTAGCCGCAGCCGGCTGTCCCCGGCTTCTCGCCACCCTTTTGGGCCGGGTCTCCCGCAGGCTGCCTCTTGGCATCGTGATCTGCTGAGTGCACGAGGACCAAGCGTCAGCCCTCCTCTGCCTCTACTTCCACGCCTCCCTCCAAGAAAGAAAGGACCACGGGCGAAAGTCCCTGTCGCAGCTGAGTTTTCCCCCCCACCCCCGTCCCGAGCACCCTGTGTTCTGTACATCGGCTCCTTGGGCCGAGGGAGGATGAGACAGACACTTTCTTTTTTCCACCTCCTGGCTCTCTGTGGGTCTCAAGATCCGCAGCACCACCCCCCAAATGCCATTCACAGTTGTTCCTCGCCCACCATAATCCACAATCCCTGGGCAGTCGCCTGCTCCCCTACACTCTTCGTGGTCCACCTCCCCGCCTGCAGCATCCGATGTGTTGGTTCTTTAACCGTGAGCGGTCTCCAACCGGTTGCCGTCATATTCCCCGTGTCCCCCCCCGCCCCAACCCAATCCCATCCCCAGGTCAGCAAGGCGCTTTCCTTCCAAACTCTGTGCGGTCGTAGACTGCACGACTTCCAGTCCCTCTAGGGACTTCCCCACTCACCCCCGTGGGGTCCCCTGCGTGAGTCACACGAGCCGCGCATACCCGCCTCTCTTCTTCCCACCAGAATGCGCGCGCAGGAAAAAGTTTCCGGCGGTCCCGGGAAACTTTTCTCACTGGAGAAACAAGCGATCTGGAGGGTTCTCTCCCGGCTCTCCCGCCCTTCGTCCTCTTCTAGCTCTGCCTTCCACCTAGGAGTCCAGCCTGGGTTCCTCTCCGGCGTGCAGCTCCCAGAGTTGGGCTGGTGACACGTTTCCCTCCCCTCTCACATTACGGCCGCCTCCTCTCCTCCCGCCCCCTCCACCCCCCA